TTTGGGGGGAGTTTGGGGGTCCTGAGGGGGATTTAGCAGGAGTCTGGGGTCCCTGAGGGGGGTTTGGGGGTCTTGGAGGTCCCTCGAAGGGATTTGGGGGGAATTTGGGGGTCCCTCAGAGGGATTTGGGGAGTTCTGGAAGGAGTTTGGAGGGGATTTGGTGTCCCTGGAAGGGATTTTGGGAGGATTTTGGGAAAATTTGGGGTCCCTGAAGGGGATTTGGAGTCCCTCAAAGGGATTTGGGGGGGACATGGGGTCCCTGAAGGGGATTTGGGGGGAGTTTGGGGATCCTGGGGGGGATTTGGGGGGAAATTTGGGGATCCTGAGGAGGATTTGGGGGAAGTTTTGGGGTCCTTGGAAGGGATTTGGGGGTCCTGGGGTTCCCAAAATCCCTCAACCCCTCCCAAATTCCCCCCAAAACCCCCCGAATTTCCCTCAAAACCTCCCAAAATCTCATTTTTCGGTGCTCCCGCAGCGGCCCCGACCGTATTTACGCCCTGTACGAGCAGGTCAGCTACAACTGCTTCATCGCCGCGGGGCTCTACGCGCTGCTGGGCGGCTTCTCCCTGTGCCAGACCCGCCTCAACAAGCGCAAGGAGTACATGGTGCGCTGAGACCCCTAAAATCCCCTTTTTTCACCCCCAAAAAAATCCCTTTTTCCCCCCCAAATCCTCAAAAAAAAACCCCCCTCCACATCCACCCCCTTTGTCGGAGGACCAATTTTCTCCCGCCCGGAGCGACGCAGAGAAGTTCGGAGAGGTTGAAATAATAAAGAGAGTTGTTGTCTAGCCGGGGCGCGGGTGGTTTTTTTTGTTTGCAAAAAAAAAGGGGATTTTTGGGGTGAAAAAGGAGGATTTTGGGGAGGGCTGGAGGTTAAAGAGCAACGAGACGGCGGAGCGGAGCGGCTCGGGATGCGGAAGTGGGCGGGGCTTGAGAGGCGGAAGTAGGCGGAGCTTTGGAGCCAACCAATGGGAGAGGGCGGGGGGAAAGGGGCGGGGCCTCGTGAGGGCGGCGGTACCAGCGAGACGCGCGGGGCAGAGCGTCCCCCTCCCCCCGCCGCCACCATCGAGGAGCCGGAGCGGCGGCGGCGGCGGCCGGAGGGGCCGGGGAGGGCGGCCATGACGTCAGCGTCCACTAAAGTGAGGGATTTGAGGG